CCAGGCCACTATAGAACAAGAGGTCCAAATGTCCGAGGAGGAGGACATCCCACCTGAAGTCCCTTCATTCACCGGGCTCTTTAATTCCTCCTTTTTTGTCACCCTACTACGCAAGGCCACCTCCACTGCTCATCTTAGATCGGGGACTCCAACAGAACCGGTTCCTGTTCTTCCTGATGCCGAGGCGGACCCGAACTTTGTCGAACCGATAACGGCCCAGCACCGCATCTCATGTCCCTTGTTATTCCTGAACGCGGTTCGGAAACAGTGGTCTTCCCCGGCTTCCCTTCCTCTCCTAGGTAACACCAACAAGCGGCTGTATAATGTAGCCAAAGAGCTGGAGGAGGCGGAGGTACCAACGGTGGACGAGCCCTTAGGGCCTCTAGTATCGTCCACCGCCATATCCAGGGATTTTTCTGAGGCCCTCAAGGCCGAGGACCACAAAGGCAAGTCCACCTACCGCAGAACACACCAAATGACCGCATGGGCAATCAGGGCTGCAACAGCCACCTCCTTCTTTAGCAGAGCCACTCTCCATTGGCTCTGACAGTTACAAAACCGGGTTCCAGCGGAGGACGTCCGCACACACCAGGACCTCAGCAAGATGGTGGCGGCCACGGAGTATGTGGCAGACGCAACACTCCAGGCTGCCAGATTTTCGGCAAGAGCCATAGCTTCCAACATCACCGGCCGGCGCATGCTTTGGTTGAAACACCGGCAAGCCGATGCAAAATCCGAATGGAAGCTGGCAGCCGCCCCATACCAGGGAGGCAAGCTATTTGGGGATGCGCTAAACCCTTATCTAACAGAAAACAAGGACAAGCGCAAGGTCTTCAAGCACTTCCTTAAGAGATCGGACAGATGTCCCGGTCACTATTCAGGGAAACAGCCTTTTCGTGCAGGAGCTAGGTTTGGCTACTCCCAGCCATCGCAACCCTTCCAGGCCAGACAAGATAGGCAGGCAGATAGGCAAACCCCCAGGCCCAGACAACAAGTGCAGGGCAAGTGGCCCTTTTGCGGGCCATTCCGCCAGTCCAGATGACTCCTCATCAGCACTTCCCATAGGGGGCAGACTTCCCCTGTTTGCCCACCAGTGGGAAGCCACCACCACAGATGCATGGGTAATCAACACCATCCGTCACGGCCTATCCCTAGAATTCCTCTCCAAACCCCCAAATCGGTTCCTTTCCTGTCCCTACCCCTGGAACCGAACAAGGAAGAGACTCATGAATGAAGCCGTTCAACATCTAAGTATATGAGCCATAGAACTGGTTCCGCTGGACCAGAGAGGCCAGGGATTTTACTCCATACTCTTTGTCATGCCCAAGACATCGGGGGGATGGAGAGCCATTCTAGATCTCAAAGCCTGAATTTCCATATGGCTTATCGCAAATTCAAAATGCAAATGCTCCGCTCCATCTTGGGAAGCGTAAGAAAAGGGGATCTCTTGACATCTATCAACCTCACCAAGGCGTATCTTCATATTCCTATCTCTCTGGTCCACCGCCGGTTCCTACGGTTCGCATACAGGGGATGCCGCTTCCAATACAGGGCACTCCCATTTGGTCTGTCATCGACTCCCAGGGTGTTCACCAAAATCCTGGCGGTCCTGGCAGCTCACTTAAGGACGATACCAGTCAGAGTCCAATGTTATCTGGACGACATATTAATCCAGTCGTCCACCCAGTCCGCCCTGACGGACCTAGAACTGGTGGTAAATCTGCTTCAGGATCACAGATTCTCGTTGAACTTCCCCAAGAGCCACCTGGTACTCACAACAAGACTGTTGCACCTCGGGGCAATCATAGACACAGTGGAGTGCCGGGTTTACCTATCCCAAGAACAGCGGGACAACATAAGGGAGTCAGTGCTCCAATTATGCCAGAACCAGTCAGTAACGTTGGCCAGTCTTTCCCAATTGCTGGGCAAGATGATCTCGACCATAGCAATTGTTCCATGGTCCAGACTCCACTCCCGAGAGCTGCAATGGTTCATGCTTCCCTTCCAGAGGCAGAACCTCAGCGCTTCCCAACAAAGGGTAAGACTGCCACAACGGGTATGGCGTTCCCTCACGTGGTGGCTGTCTCCAGCCATGCTCAGAGGCTCAGACTTCAGAGAGCTGGACAAGTTAGTCCTCACGACCGACACAAGTCTGTTCGGTTGGGGAACACACCTCCGGTCCCAGTGGACGCAGGGCCGTTGGTCCACATTGGACCTTCAACACAACATAAACTGGCTCAAACTACTAGCCATCCACCTAGCCCTACGACACTTCCACAACTCGTTAGCACGGAGGCACATACTAGTCCTCACGGACAATGTGGCCACCAAGACCCACATAAATTGTCAAGGGGGCACTCGATCCCGCTCCCTATGGTCCAAGTCCCTCCTGCTTTAAAGGACCTGTGGACAGGAGAAGGAGTAACAGGTAGAAGATTACTAAAGAGATCCAGCCTAGCATTAAGGACAAATTTCCTGACCAGTCAGTGGAATGGTTTGCCTCCAGAAATGGTGCTCCATCATTGGAGATTTTCAAGAAAAGGTTGAACAACCATTTCTCCACAATGGTATAAGGTCTCCTGTTTGAGCAGGGGTTAGAGTAGAAGACCTCCAAGGATCCTTCCAACAATGTTATTTTATGTCAGTGAAAATGAAAATGACTGGGAAGATATAGGAGAGATTAATTTGATTTTTTAAATATAATTCAGATTCAAATTAAGCAGCATAGCAATGTAAACACCAATACATTTGATTGTTTATGAACTCTGAACCTCTGTACCTTATTAGTATTAAGCTTCAATGTGTACTTCTCTGGTACATCAGCCTTAAGGTATCTTGACAGCACTTGGATACCATCACTTCATTCACCCAAAGTCAGAGTATAAAGCTGGGTGTCAAGAGTGGGCAGGTGATACCTGATCCTATGTTGATGGATGACTTTACCTGGTGACTTCATGTAGATGTTGAATATAAATATTGATCGCTGTGGTATCCTACAATTGAGAGTTTAAAGTATTGTCATTCTATAAACATTTTCATAGGCCTTTCCTATACAAACTTGTTCATCTTTGTAAATAATAACCCAGATCATATTGCTTTGTTTAAACTTTTTATTAAAAAACAGAACTTCAGGGTAAAACAAAAATAAAGGTACAGTTTTAAAAAGTAATAAAACAAGGCAAAAGGAAAAGTAAAGGAGAAAAGGAGAAAAATAATCCCAACAGTGGAGGAATGGATAGTGAAGATGTCAGAATTGACAGAAATGGCAAATGTCATTTAGTTAAAGAAAAAACATTTTTTTTCTGAATATCTGAAAACCTTGCTAAAAGAAAAATGAAATGATCTTCAAAAAGAAAGTAAGGGTTCTTCCAACTCTGTTATTCTATGTTCTATAATTTATGATCTGAACATTAAGGAAGATGAGAGGCTGAAAAGATTTATATAGCGTCTTGGGGAATGGGGAATAGGGAAAATAAAATTATAATTATCTGTTGAAAAGAAGCTTGGAAGATATTCATAATATTTAATTTTTCCCCTCATTTTAATTTTTTACCCTTTCTTATTTATTTCCTTTTTTTCTTTTGGTTTGTCTTCTATGAAAAACAATTATAAATTTAAAAAGAGAAGGGAAGAAAAATAATAAAATTATTTGTACTAATTGTAAATACTTCAATTGAGTATTAATACTTCTGTGATTTTAAAGAGAAATACAAACATTTAAAACACCTATAATTTTTTATAATAGAATGAGATTTGTATGAACTTTATTATGAAAAAAGTATCATGAATTAATTGTGATCATAATTCAATAAATTTATCCTTCATTGCAGGGTTTTCCAAACTCTTGTGTTAATTTAGATAAAACAGCAGGAATTGAATCAATTCTTTTCAATCAACTGTATGAATTCTGTTAGTATCAATTTATGTATGTTAAGGAATATAGACATTAAACCAATAGTAGGATTTGTGGAAAAGAGCTGGTCAGAAGTTACATCTTAATATCACTTGAGTCAAGTACTTTCATTCCTTCACAATTTACATTTGGTCCTGTAAACCCATTAAAATTTACGAAAAATTATATTCATATACTTCATTTATTTGTAATTAAAATCAAAGCTTCTGTTTGATTTTAATCTTAATCTTAAACCCCTCTGGAAGATAATTTGGGATTCTTTATGTTGCAACACAGAATATTTGTTAAATCTATTTTATCAAGTCATCAAAACTGATTATGAAGATAACCCAAAGGCTTACAATAGACACTCTGCTAAAATTAGACAATATAAATTGTAGCTGTTCTAGATTTTGTAAGTCAGTTTGTATTCAAATTATACAAATTACCATATTCAGTGGCATTGCCAACTTTTTAGTTCAAAGTTTTTGATGAATCTTACGAAAATCACTTAATAGTGTTTTATATTAAAACACAATATGTAATTACATTAGTAATTACAATTATGCTATAAATTTCTGTATCTTCCCATTCCTTATATTAAACAGATCTATCCTTTACTTTAAAAAAAGGATGGTTGAGGAATGAGGATACAGAAGAAAACTAAGGAGCCAATGAATGTTTTCATTTTTTCCAAACTTCTAAAATAAATTTTAACTAAGCTGCAAGGGAATAGTTACTATGTTTAAAAAAGTCAGAAATCACATCACTCTAACCAGTACTGAACCCAGAGCTAACTAAATTTGAATCCATCAAATATTTAATTTCCTAATAATATGAATTGGCTTAAGTGAAAGACGTTAAAATGTTTCTAATTTGATATTTCTAAACTTTTGTCATGCTTTTGTTAATAATGGATGATTTGATTTTTATAGCTATGTAGAAAATTAAGAAAAAAATGTCAGAGGTGGCAGGAATAGGAATTGTCTGTTTTTTATGTATCTACAGGGAGCTGGGATACACACTGCATAGAAGGTAGGTAGATAGAGAAGGAACAATTTGCCTTTCATACATAACATGTTGTAATCTCTGTTTTATTCTTTGACAGCCTCCCAAGGTAAAATGTTTGACAAGAATCTGGCATCCAAATATAACTGAGACAGGGGAAATCTGTTTGAGGTAATTCATTATTTGAATAGTTCAGTTTTTTTATTACCATTTTATCAAATATGTAAATAAAATGGGGGGTGGGAAAAGAGCACATATAAGTTTTTTAAAAATGGAATATCTAATACTTCTAAATTGAGGATTTTTTTCTTCAGTTTGGTCAACAGCAGTTAATTAGCAGCTAATTGTGGACAAAAAATTGCAAAAGGTATATTAAGTATAAAGATAACCATCTACCTGCTTCTACACTCTAGTAATTGTAATTTTTCTAAACTAAAACATTATTAGCTTTATTTGATCTTCTTAAATCTATTAATTATTAAATATACCCTTCTGAAATGGTAAATTACTTTCATCTTTAAGAAAAGGACACGATTAACTGCACATTCTTGTAAAGAAAACAGGACAGAATTTTATGAAAGTTAGAAAGAGGTTGAAGAGAGGTAAATGAATAAAAGTTAAAGGGAAGGAAAGGAGTCACTATATAGCTCTTAAAAGAGAAAGATCTGATATAAATTTAACAAACAGAAGGAAGGAAAGAGTGAAAGTGTAACATAGTAAACTGTTAGAATGTTATAACAATCTTTTGCTTTAAAAAACTGAAAAAAATGATAGTTTATAAAATAGATAACCAATATTTTCCATAAATGAAGGTGAATATACATGTCCCAGGATAACGTTGCAGGATCTAATCTGGGTTGGTCACTGGGATCAGAACTTTAGTCTTCTGAGCTTTCAGGCTCATTTCTGGAGCCCGTCTTCAGTGAATGTCTCTCTAGCAAAGTGTGTGCTTTGGGCTATTTTGTGTGTGATATTTATGTGGTGCCTGTTGTATGTGGCTTTTTAGATGTTGATTGGGGTGTTGATGGCTGGCTATTAAGTCATTGACTGTTGTTTCCTTGTGCTACCAAGCCCTCCTCTCCTAAGTATGTGATAAGCTGGTGGTAAATCCATACTCCTGTTGACTGACAAGGGGCCCATTTCCCTGGCTTCAATCATTTCCCTGGTTGACTTTGTGCCTGCTCATCCAACAATCTTAGTAGCTGCAAAATTGAATGTATGTCCTTGTTCATTGCAGTGTGAGGTTACCAATGAGTTCGGGGCTCCTCTTCTGACTGCTTGCTTGTGTACTTGCAATCTGGTCGTTAACTTCTTTCCCATCTGTCCTACATAGTCATAGGGGCAATCCATGTAGGGGATCCAGTAGATTACATTGGATCCCACCTCCAAGCTATCTTTACAATACATAATTTATCCTCGTATGGTAGCCTCTGAGCGGTGGGTGATGCCTACTTGCAGATCTCAGAAGTTGCATTCTACAGCTTCCAAAATGTTTTTGATATATGGCAGGGTGTGCAAAGTGGTTGGTTTTGTACCTTGTTTTTTTCCTTTCTCTCCCCACTGCAGACACCTTGTAACAAATGATTGTGGGTACCCATTCTTCCTGAATTGTTCATGTAGGTATCTGCTCTCCAACTCTTTGGCTTGCTGAGTACTGTAGTGGGTTCTCACCCTGCCATATAGTGTTCTGATGCAACTCTTTTTGTGTGACAGTAGGTGGTTGCTGTTGAAATTCAGAACACATGAAGTATTGGTGGCCTACATTTCCATCTTCTTGTCTGTTGCAAAGCACATCTAAAATTCCTTTGTCCCTATACAAATTTGCTTTGTTTTAACTTGCTTTAGTGAGCTTCAGTGAACTTGGTAATCTAACTCCTCCTAATCTAGCTCCTTTCCTTCCTTTTATTTTTATTTTCTTTCTTTCACTCACCTCCTCTCTTCAACCTCTCTAATTTTCATAGAATTTTGTAAGATTAAACCAATCCATTACCAAAAAAGAAATATAAATTAAGGCAAGATGAAATTGGCAAGGAGAAGCTTGGGGACTGATGTGAACTCTGGATGGAATTGCCCTCCCCCTGAAAGAGCAAGTTCACTCTTTGGGGTTGCTCCTTGATCCCAAACTACAGCTGGAATTGCAAATGGCAGCTGTTTCAAGAAGTAAGGTTGGACAACTATACCTTTTGTACCAGTTGCAACCCTTCTTGATCCAGGGAGCCTTTGGAATAGTTATCCACACATTAATTACAACTAATCTTGGCACCTGCAACATGCTTTACGTGGAGCTATCCTTGATAAATTTCTAGATCTGAATACAGGTAGTCCTCAACTTGCAATCATTCACTTAATGATCACTTGAGGTTACAATGACACTAAAATTCATAGAAGGCTGATTATCATCAGACAGCCAGAACATGCAAAGAAGAAGTCAGGAAAGCAAAGGCCCAGAACAAAAAAGACTCACAACAGAAATCAAGGACAACAAAAAAAGTTTCTTCCAACATATTAACAATAATAAAAAAGTCAAGGAAACTATAGGCCCACTAAAGAGAGAAGATGGCAAGGAAATTACAGACAACAAGGAGAAGGCAGAGCTGCTTAACTCATACTTTGCATCAGTCTTCACACAAAAAGAAACCATAGCCCAACACCCCCCCCCAAAAAAAACACTGCAAAATACATACTAGAAACAAAAATCAAAATAAGCAAGGAAATGGTAAGAGAACACCTATCCAACCTTGATGAATATAAATCACCAGGACCCAAGAGATTACATCCCAGAGTTTGAAAGAGCTGCCAGATGTTATCTCAGAACCATCGGACCACATCTTTCAAAACTCCTGGAGCCCCAGGAAAGCACCCAAGGATTAGAAAATGGCTGATGTGGTCCCCATCTTCAAGAAAAGAAAAAAAAAACGGAGCCAGGAAACTACAGACCAATCAGTTTAACACCAATACCTGGGAAGATTCTAGAAAAGATAATCAAAAACAGATCTGCGAACTACTAGAAGCAAACAAAGTTATAACTAGCAGCCAGCATGGGATTTGCTAAAAAAAGATCATGCCAAACCAATTTTATCTCATTCTTCGATAAAATGACTAAACTAGTAGACCAGAAAAATGCAGTGGACATAGTATACCTAGATTTCAGTAAGGCATTTGACAAAGTAGACCACAACCTACTCCTTGGTAAGCTACAAAAAAGTGGAATAGACAACATTACCACCAGATGGATCTGTAGCTGGCTGACAAACCGCACTTAACGAGTAGTCCTCAATGACATTACATCCACATGGAGAGAAGTAAACAATGGAGTACCATAAGGTTCCATCTTAGGCCCACTACTCTTCAACATCTTCATCAATGACTTAGACAAGGGAATTGAAGGGGAACTCATCAAATTTGCAGATGACACCAAACTGTCAGGAGTAGCCAACCCCCCAGAAGACAAACTCAGGATCCTTGACAAACTTGAACAAAATGAGTTTTAATGTGGAGAAAAGCAAAGTCTTACACTTAGGCAGGAAAAACCAAAGGAACAAATACAGATTGGGCAAGATTTGGCTTAAAAACAGTAACTCTGAGAGGGACCTTGGAGTCCTAGTGGATGATCACTTAACTATGAGCCAGCAGTGTGCAGCAATAATAAAAAAAAAGCTAATACAATCCTGGGTTGTATAAACAGAGGCAATAGACTCAAGATCACATGAGGTATTAGTACTGCTTTATAAAACCCTAGTAAGAGCACACCTGGAATACTGCAGCCAATTTTGGTCACCATATCACAAAAAAGATATTGAGAGTTTGAAAAAAAAATTCAAAGAAGAGCAGCTAAGATGATCAAAGGCCTGGAGACTAAAACATACGAAGATGGCTGCAGGACTTGGGTTTGACTAGTCTAAAGAAAAGAAGAAATAGGGGAGACACGATAGTATATTTCAGTATTTGAGGGGCTGCCACAAAGAAGAGGGGGTCATGTTATTCACCAAAGCACCAGAGGGCATGACAAGAAACAATAGTTGGAAACTGATCAAAGAGAGAAGCAACTTGGAATTAAGGAGAAACTTCCTGACAGTGAGGACAATCAACCAGTGTAACCCCCAGAAATCGTGGGCACTCCAGCACTGGAAATTTTTAAGAAGAGACTGACAATCACCTGTCTGAGATGGTATAGGTCAATGGTGGTGAACCTACGGCACGCGTGCCAGAGGCAGCACTCAGAGCCCTCTCTGTGGGCACGCATGCTGTGCCCCGGAGATGGCCAGGGACTGGCCCCCGCCACCCTGTCCCCACCCATCCAGTCTGCCAGGACCATTGTGGCCACGCCCACCTGGCACCCAGTGATAAATAAGTGGGTTTTGGGTTGCAGTTTGGGCACTGAGTCTCTAAAAGGTTCGCCATCACTGATATAGGTTCTCCCGCTTGAGCAGGGGGCTGGACTAGAAGACCTCCAAGGTCCCTTCCAGAGATTAGACAAGACAAGATAAGACACAGATTTGGAAGGGACCTTGAAACTCTTTAATCCAGCCCCCTACTGGAACAAAAGATCCTATACTTTTCCAGACAAATGGTTGTCCAGTCTTTTCTTGAAAACTTTCAGTGATGAAGCACCCACAACTTCTGGATGCAAGTCATTCCATTGATTAATTAAAATAACTTACAACTAGTCCTTACACATGCAACTGTTGCAGCATCCCCACAGGGACATGATTAAAATCTGAGCACTTGACAACTGGCATGTATTTATGATGGACATTTGCCATTTGCAACCTTCCTAGATGCCTTCCAACAAGCAAAGTCAGTGGGGGGGGCATCAGATGCACTTAATGACTATGTAATTCACTTAACAACTATAGGAAAATAGTCATAAAATTGGGTGTGATTAACTTAACTGCTTTGCTTAGTAACAGAAATTCTGATCCCAATTGTCAGTGTAAGTCATGGACTATCTGTGTTGAGTATCTGGTTGCTGAGATTGAACTTTAAAGCCATAAATGGCTGATTATTTGGGGGACTGTATTTCATTCTATAAACCTGTGCACTTATTTCCATTAGCAGGACAGAACTTTGAAAAAATAGCCCTGCCCACAGGAGTTCAAATGAGGTGACTTCATATCTGTAATTCCCAGTCTACACAATGCATTCTCTAAGGAGGTACATTTGGCCCTCTC